GGAGTGTAATTAAAACAAATAAAAAAATACCTAGGAGGGAATGACTCATCCTCCTCTGATCTGAATTTTTAATGCTTCACTTACTTTTATTGTCCTGTGTCCTTTGTAGATAATGACCCATACATTTCATCTAAATATGTTGTTATTATGGTGTTTCTATGTAGTATGGTAAGGCAATCTTACTGGAAAATTCAAACTGAACAGATAATAAGTGATGATTTGGGGGCTTTAAAAGATTCTTCAATTTTGAAAACAAAAACTGATCACATATTTCTGTATGTTTTGTTTTTTCAGGAGTTTCCTTAAATTGATCAATCGAAGTGATTCATTAGAGTGTTACAGTACTTTTACAATGTGGAAGATAGCCTGACATTTAGGAACATGGATTATGTGGTCAGATTTGGATTCAAAGGAAGATTGCATATTTTATTAACTTGGGTTAGATATCTAACCTCCAGTTTTCTCATCTGTACAATAGGAATGATATCAATCACATAAGGCTCTTACAGGAATCAAATGATATAATGAATTTTTTTAAAAGCCAAAACAACCCCTGAAATATAGTAAGTGGTAGTAGATATTAAATTATCATGGACCAAACCTTTGATTTGCCTATATATATATATATATATATATATATATATATATCACCTTCAGTTATATATATATATATCAGATATATATATATCACCTTCAGTTAAGAGAGCATGTTAGAAAGAACAAAAATGGTGGACTGGGTTGCTTGATTTATACTATATCCTTGGGGAATATGGTATGGAAAATAAATATCCAATATTGTGAAGATTGTCTTCAGATGATATTTTTTGGTTCTCCAGGAATGCCAATTCAGAAGTATTATCATAAAGAAGGCCATTTAAACACCTTCCCAAATTAGGGTTAATTATAGTCTCTTACACACAGTCACCTTCAGATGAATTAAAATATACATTTATCTGGTAGGCACATTTTGAGCACATAATACCATTGCAAGTTTTACATAAAAGAAACTTAGATTTCCATGTACATTTCCCTATTTGGTGACTTGTTTAAAGAAGAAAACATACTTTATATTATGGAAAATATTGAAGCCAACTGCCCACTTAGTTTTCTCTTTCTTAAACCATGTGATTAGGCCATGGTGGGGCTTCACTGCTCTGAGCCATTTCTGACCTTTTGTCTTCATGAAAACCTAAACAAAATGTTTACCCTAAAGCACTGCTAAGATTGAATTTTGAACTTGTACTACAATGTTCAGATTTTAAGGATTTTTTTTAAACAGAAAAACTTAGAGTGAGACATTCATTTCTTCCATAAACAATGCTCAAAAAAGTTTGTTCAATTTAGTTACAAAATGCATATTTCTCTATACACATCTATGAATATCCCAGAAATTGTTTCCCTTGGACTTAATGTCCATATTGCATCTGTTGACTCTTCCTAGTACTGTTATTGTTGCTGACTTAGTGTTAGAGTTTGGTCAGAATCTTAAACTATCACTTAGTACGAGATTCTTATAAAATCATAAGTTTTCCTTGAACTGATATGACATTTCATATCAATTGAGACACTTACCAATTATTTTTTGTTTATTTATTTATTTGTTTTGTTAATTCTCACCCAATGACATTCTTCCCATTGCTTTTTTACAGAGAGTGGGAGGGAGGGAGGGAGGGGGAGAAAGAGAGAAACATCCATGTGAAAGAGGCACATGGATCAGAGGCCTTCAGCATGCACCCCGCTGGGCTGGGAATGGAACCTGCAACCCAGGTACATGCCCTTGACTGGGAATTGAACCTGAGACCCTCCAGGGTGTGGTCTGATGCTCTAACTACTTAGAAATACCATCCAGGGTCAAAGTATTTTTAAACATCATTTATAAACTTATTTTCAAGAAAAGCATAGAACATAAACTCCAAATTATCTTTGCTATAGATATCCTGTGTAATAAAAGCATAATATGCAGATCAACTGAATGGTGGAACAACTGATGTGCACCAGGGGGCACACACTCAACGCAGGAGCTGCCCACTGCCTGCAGGCCCCAGGTCAGCCAAGGCGGGTACCAGCCGAGGGCCCCAGATCGCCCCACCAGTCGCCCTACAGATTGGCCCTGATCGTCAGCCAGGCCTAGGGACCCTACCTGTGCATGAATTTTGTGCACCGGCCTCTAGTTGTTACATAATGTAGGTAATACATGGAGAAAAGGTGGCACCAGATTGAAATCAGTGGTGTCCTTTGTTACTTTTAGTAGGTAAAGCAGGAAACTGATGATGCTTGGCCCCAAATACCAAATAAATAGTATAACCAGAGATGCCTCTTAAACAAACTTTTTTTGGGGGTCACTTGTCATACTCTACATAAGAACAACTGTAGTATATGAAACAGCATTTTTATGCCCTAGGGCAACATTTGGTAGGTCATTCTCCTCCAACCTAGTGCCCCTACTTCCCACACATAACACTTTCTGTCTCTAAGTGACTTTATAGTCAATGATTTGTTAATTTCTGCATTACTTTATTTTTTAAAAAAATATATTTTATTCATATTTTACAGAGAGGAAGGGAGAGGGAGAGTTAGAAACATTGATGAGAGAGAAACATCGACCAGCTGCCTCCTGCACACCCCCCACTGGGGACATGCCCGCAACCAAGGTACATGCCCTTGACCGGAATCGAACCTGGGACCCTTGAGTCCGCAGGCTGACGCTCTATCCACTGAGTCAAACCGGTTAGGGCTGCATTACTTTATTAAGAAGACTATTTTCAGAATATTTTTAACGCACACTTCTAAGGAAATTTGACAGATAGAGATTGGGGTGTGGTGGTACATTATTTAAAGGAATAAGGTAGACTTTGTTATCCCTGGACCTAATCAGAATGTTTAAAATGAACATTTTAACGAATTATCAGTTATTTTCCAGTATTACAGATAGATAAGAAAAAATTTAATCCAATGAATTTGGGTGTTTTTTGTTTTTTGTTTTTTGTTTTTTTTGAGATCATGGCATTAACTTAAACTTGGTCCTTTGAAGAAAAAATTAAGCATATGAACTTTAGTTGTTTTTTCATAGTGACAAAACAATACATTCAGGAATATTGCTGTGGAAATTCAAGTGATTTAACTTCATTAAGCACACTAATGCACGGTTTTTTGTTTTTGTTTTCCATAACTGAATAATCAAAAGTGTGGTGAAATTACTCTTAATGCTTCACAAGAAGAATGGCTTGTTTGATTCTTTCGCAGGACTGTTTCATTGCCGTAATTTTCAAGCATGCTGAGGTGCCATAAGAACTCTCCTGATGGCTCCAAGGTAGCTGGCCATTTTTTTTTTTAATACACAATATCAGGTACACAATAGGCAAGGGAGAGCTAAATTAAGTGGCAACACCAAAATGTATCCACCAAACAAAAGGTTCTTCCTCCAAGAACCTCAAAGGGCCTCATCAAAGAGAAAGTCTTTCCTAATATTGTCCAGTAGGGGGAACTAAAGATTCACCTTCTAGCATTTGGCTCAGCTCTGGGAACGCATGAGTTCCTATAACCCGCCTTCTAATCACCAGAACCGGCATCAAACAACTACCAGGGAGCCTGTGATCACACGTGGGCCCGGCCGCACTGGCCACACCGGCGGCACCGCAGACTCTGGCATCCCTTTGATCCAACGTGTCTTTCCTCAATCATCCCCGGTCCTGAATGGCATACACTGGGTGGGTGGGTGGGGGGAGGGTTGCCTTAATTTTCAGGGTTTTGTCATCTTTGGGCTGGAATCCGGTCTTTTTGAGCTTCTATTAGCTCGGCTGGGTTTTCAGCTTTCCCCATCCTTCGTTTTCGGATTCTTCTTTCAAGAGAAGACCTGGACCTCCCCCCACCCCCTACCGCCAAGCTCTCTGATTCCTGCTCCCATCTTAAACGTCTTCGGTGCAACTCCCTTGCATCCCACAATCAGCATCAAACTCACCTTTCAGGGGTCAGAAGGCAACCGAGTGATAGAAGAGGAGATGCCATCCCTTCCTCCTGTGCTCCCTCCCCCCGGGGTTCCTCGAGGGGCCATAGATCTTGGCTAAAACAAGCCGGTAGAGGCTAGAGATTTCTGTACACCACCCTCCCTTTTTCTTGTACCTTTTTACTGACATAGGAAGCACCCACACACAACCTTTCCGCTCCAAAAGGTGGTTATATTTTGTTTCCGTTCCTCTTTGCCCTGTAGCTTCCTCATTTTGCTAAAAGGTGAAGTGTACTTGTGCGATTGTAACCGGTAATGAGGCTGTGCCCTGGGTCCTGGAGGATGGAATTTTTCCAGAAAGCGCGTGCATCTCTGGCAGGAGGAGAGCTGAATAATTAGGAAGGGCTTCCATGAAATCACTCACCGAGAAAATTACCTGCCCATTACGCGGGCCGCCGAGGAGCGGGGGCTGGAGCCCACCTATCCCTCCCGAGGCGGGAAGGAGGGGACGAGGAGGCCCAGGCAAGAGGAAGGAGTTGACCAGTGTCCGCGGCTCCGAATTAGTGAATGTCCGTCCCCCTCGGGCCCCGGGCTCCCGCGCTGGCCCCTTCCTCGGCACCGCGCGGCCGCTGGCGCCCCTGCACCGGAGGGTGGCGGAGTGTGGAGGCGGAGGGCTCACCGCACCCCTCACCCCCCCCGGAGGCCGACTCCTAGCAGCTTTCATTCCTTCCCTCTCCTCCCGCCTCCTCGCTTCCCCTCCTCTAAGTCTTTCCACCGCCCGCAGCTGTAGGAGGAGGCAGACGCTGTGCTGCGGGTGGCGGGCGCGGCGGCGGCTGGAGCGGGGACTGGCGGCGGCTGGACCGCGCGCTCCCTTTCTCCCCGGCTCCGCTCGCGGCTCCCGGGCTCACGCTCCGGCTCCGCGCCCTCCCGCAGCCGCCGGCGTTCCCCGCCGCTCAGGGGCGGCCCGCGGGGGCGGCCGCGGCCTCAGCCCTGCCCCTCCCTCCCTCCCTCCCTCCCTCCCTCCCTGCCGCCCTACCACGTAGGAGTTCACCTTCGCCACCGAGGCGTCTAGATTCCCTTTGCTTCTCTGGAAACGACAGAGGTGGAGGGAGGCGACGCGGCTGCAAAGGAGAGGCTCGCCAAGGCGGCCCGCCTGCAAAGTGTTGCTTTGACACCTCCTGGCTGTGGAAGTTAAGGGGAAAAACTCCGGACGCGGAGCTGCTGCCCAGACGGAGACCGGGGAAGGAAACCAGTAGGCAGGCCAATGGTTTTCCGGCAGCGCGCTGGCAAGTTTGTGGAACACTTTCTAGGAATTAGATCTTCGTCCTCTCCCTTCCTCGTCCTGACTTCTGAAGAAAGAACTTGGTTTTGGATTGCAATGGAGCCCGAGGAGTGAGGGTTAGACACACTTGAATAATCCCTCCGACGGGGTTGCATTTGTGGGAATTTAGGAAGCCCGAGTGGAAATACAGCAGCCTTTGGTGCACCCTCTGTTCATTTGGATGAATCTAAATGTGCCCCATCCAGGACCGCTCCACTAAGCCCTCTCATCTTGCGATTTGCTCTCCTTGACTTTAATTAGCATCTAGGAAAGTCTGAACTTTGGACCTACCTCTTCTTTTGATACTTATTTTTGTACTTTTGCTCTCTGGGATTGGTTTCTTAAAACAATCTGGATCCTTTTTAATATGTCAAAATGAGTCGGCTGATGTTTACACAACTACTGCTCTGTGGATTTTTATATGTTCCCGTTGATGGTAAGTTAAAAATGCTTTTATCCTCCCCCACCAAAAAAATACACTTTTCTTTCTGAGGGGGATGTGGGCTCTAAATAAAATGACTTTGTATGTGTAAGTCCCTTTTGGCCAGGTGTGGGTCTTTAGGGGGCAGTGATTTTAAGTCTTTTGTTTCTAAACAGCTGCAAGTGGAACACATTAGTAGTCGCCTACTGTTGTTTTTTTAATTAATTGAGGAGTTGGACAATAAATGATGGGATCTTAGTTTTGTTAGAAGAGAATTATTAAAGGAAATCTCTCGAAAGAGTCTAATACTGTGGTACTGCTCTGTTTGGTGTTTGTTCTTGTATCTGAACTTTGACTTAGACATTCAAGTGAAGAAAATTAGTAATGGATGTTGTACTGAAGGTTCATTGAGTTAGGAATGTGGGACGAGGTCTCTCAGGGAAAAAAGTGTGTATCACCTTCATGCTGGCCAGTGCCCTCCTAGTGTGAAATCAGAATGAAGAATTTAGATCATAGGGAGGAAACTGTCAAAAGGGGACTGGGCCAGACTCCAACAAGGGGAAACATAAGCTCCAGGCCTGCTGGGGGCAGCTCTGTCCCCTGTGGCAGACACAATGGGGATCGGAAACAGGTGCTGGCTGTGTCTCCCTCTAGGTTGACTCAGTGTGTCAAGCCGCCAGCATCCTGCCTCTGATTCTCCTGTCTTTTGTTCAGATTTGGTTTCCTGGTACATTTTCTTTGGATGTCAGTTTCTTGGGAGAGAATTGTAAAATCCTTTTTAGGAGCCGTTTTGAATGACAAGTGGAAGTAATCATTAATATCTTTTATTGTTTGTTCAAAGAAGGAAATCCAGAGGATATTTGGTATTAACCTTCTAGGGACTTTAATTTTTACATCAATGGAAAGAATTGGTCTAAGGAGAAGACTGTAGCTTGCCACCTCCCCCTCCCGAAAATGGGGATTATAGTACTTTAGTTTTTTAAATACTGTACTTGTAAAGAATTGGAGGTGTATTGGTCCAAACATTTGAGCCATCATAGTTGTTTGTTGCTACATAAACTTTCCTCCAGCATATGCATTGTGGACAAATTCATTATTTGGGACACTGCGTATTTTTGCCCACCTATAGGAGCTAACTTTGTTCTTGGCAGCTGCGGATGCACAGAACCCAACATATTGGACTCAGAAAGGAAGCCTTTCTATAAACATGAGGCAATACAGATTAATTTACCTACTGTCAAGTGGCGGTTTTCAATCCTGGACTACATAAGTACCTTTGCCTCACAGCGTTAGTAGGCAAGGCATTTATGTGGGCACACTGCTTCTCTCTTCCCCCTTCTAAGTAGTTGATGTTTAGGAATTAATCACTGTGAATTATAGTGTGGCAATATCTATATTCATATCTAATAATTCACCATGCATTTTCTTTAATACATTTCCCTCTACAATACATTTACATTTCCATTACAAAAAGTTTTACATATTTTTTTCCCAAATGTGTTTGAGTATTAGTATGAGAAGACTTGGATATAAGTTTTTGGGTAATATGTTCTCATAAGATATGAATTTACATTTTTCAATACCAGAAATACATGTGAAAGCTATATATTAGACTACAGGATTATTGCCAAGTTTTGTTGTTGTTGTTTTATTTTTTGTTTTGAATCAGTGTGTAGCTAGGAGGAATACAATTAAATTGCTCAGTGGAAGTGACAGAGGGAATCAGAAGAGCTTGGTGTTACAGAATGTAATTAATGTACCACAGTGTTTGGAGGTATATGAAACAAACGCAATTAACCAGCTCGCTGGAACAGCAGTAGCAAGACATCATTTCTTTCCTGTCCTCCCTCCCTCCTGTCCTGCCTCCCTCACTTCTTTCCCTCTCTCCCTTCTTTCCTTCTCCCCCACCCCCACCTCCCGCCTTCCCTAGGGACACATGTAGGACTTTCGTTCTGATATAATTTTATAGGGTAAGGGCGGGGGGATTTGTGTCTGACCCACAATTATGCAGCCAAATTCATAGTAATGTAGCAAAAAATGCCTAGGGTAGAGTAATTGAAAAGGTAACGTTCATTTTTTTCCGTGTTAAACTAATTTTTGTATTTAGTATCTAATATGTCAAAAGCAAATAAAACTGTGGACACTTAGTGAGTTCCTATGTAAATCATACTGTTGACATTGGATTGCCTTTGGTTTACTCCAGAACGATGACAGCCTCTCCATGGGGACTGCTGGAAATTTGGGATGTAGACAACACTGCCCTCTAGGCTATTTCAACACGGGGACTGAGTGTTCACATGTATAATGAGGGAGTGGGCTGCTAGGCTCTTTAAGCTTTCTTACTCCTCCAGGATTCCAGGATTTCTATTTGCTTATTATCCTTCTTATAAGTGTGTGCTCATTCTCCCCATGAATTTCAAATTTAGAGAGGCTTGTACCATTTCAAAGATATACTGACTATCCATGTGCTAGACACAAAAATTAATTTTATTCAGTGACAAATGATACATAGATTTGCATTGAAATTTGCTTGGTGGGTTATTTATATGTGCATTTTTATGGCATGTGAAGAATGTTAGCGTTTTGCCTTCTCATAGAAGGTACATGCTAATATTTATGATTGTTCAGTATCATGTGTCTGTAGGAATCCGTAGAAAATAAATATTAAGTTAGTTGATAACTACATGCAAACTTTTCTATTTGGGATGTCCATGCAGATTTTCTCATTTGATAGAGATTAATCAAATGCAGATTTTCCTTTACTATTAATAGGAGATTATGTAATGAACTTAGCCTTTGTTCTCCAGATTTTCTTTATTTTTAAGTAAGGATATGGTTTCCCAGTCATTTACAGGGAACTAATATAAACCATCACAAGACTTTTAATTATATCTATATACCATACGTTCTGTCAATTCAATAATTTTATGATACTTTAATACTTGTAAAAGGATACTTTTAAAATGAGAATAGTTTTCTTATCTAAGCCTTAACTAGTTTTTTTTCCAGTGTTGTTTCTTTTAATGAGCCCCATCTCCCTGAAGGATGATGCGGGTAGCTAGGTGGTGGCAAGAGGTGTTCACTTCAAGATTCTGCCCTGATTGAAGGCTTTGCCCACACGCAGCCTTAACTATTCCTAAATGGAAATGACACACATGGTATTTGGGGAGATAAAGATGATGTGTGTGCACAGTGCAGATATATAATCTCATACAGGTTTATACATTTTGCTAAAGTGCTTCTTTTAATAATGGGTTCATTATTGTAGCCATATGTAGTCCATTTCAGAACTTAAATTGCATATAAGTAACCTGAAATTTGTTCTTGGGACTCTGCAGTAATATGAGGTTTGAATTGGCTTTGTTTGAATAACCTTTGTGTCTAGGCAACATGTGGACCATAAACCAAAAGGATTTCTTAGAACATCAAAAAAGACTATCTTAAAGGGGGGAAAAAAAGTCATGGTTATACAAAGAACAATTCTGGCCATCTTATCCCTGAGCAGCCTGTGTAAAATAGCATTTTGATAATAAAAATATGGATATGTAAGCACATTGAATACATTTGGATGCTTTTATAATAATGAAGGGAGCTCATGTATGTGGGATGAGTGTCCAGTGAAATCTGCTTCAGTAGTTCCTGCATTCTGTAGGAGATACGTTTACTTCCTATGTGCAATTTGGTTTTGAAGAGTATTTGGAAGAAAAATTTTTCTTTTACTTATTTCTTCTCCTAGTCTTCCTCTTCTCCTCCTCCTTCTTTTTTGAACCTGATGTAAGGAATTATAAAAGTATTTGAAGAGTAAAGGAAATAGGTGAGGTTGTTTCTTAAATAATAATTTAGAACATCTGCATTTAAAGGAGATTTGTTAATCATGTTTTACTTTTGGGTATATCCAATTGGGTCCTCAACTTTATCATTTTTATTTTCTAAAACGATATAGCTTTATGCAAACTTATTTTGTATAGATCCTATCTTTTTTTCAGTTTAGACAGACAGAAGTCTACAGATTGGAGTTCAAGCAGACAATGGAAACTTATAGAGAGTATCATTTTATTGATTAATTTTTAAAGAAAATATTGTTATGTTTCTTATAGCATCTCCATGTATGGACCTATCAACCTAAATCAATACATTAATATTGATTTTTTTTCTTCTTTTTAATTATTGACTAAAACATAGTCAATATGTTTTTCCCCTTTTAGGGGAAATTCCCATATACTTTTTAAAATGTATCAACAGTGTGATAAATTATAATAGAGATCTCATATAGCATTTAAAGTGTGTTAGTCTCAAAATAAATAAAGTGTAGCAATCTCACCCAAAATACATATCCGTAACTCAAAACAGCATTACTCCTAGAGAGAGGAGTAATCTAGGGCTCAAACCTTAGTGTTTTCTTCTGCATTTGCATCTAATACTTAAGATCATTCATCCCGTTGCTGATACTTCTTACATTGCCCAGTCACTGTGTGGAAGAATCTAAGTCCATGAGTTTGGCTCTTATACCATTGTAGTTCCAGTGCCTGGAGCAGTGCTGGACACATCTGGCTGGCTGTTTGACATCTTTGCATGTTAGCGAATAAGAATATATCAAACTGAAGCCTGGGATAGAATCTGCTCCTTTTTCTTGTCATCTCCAGCTCAGTAAATGGCATCACTATTCCCAGAGTTTTTCATGATCCCAAACTAGGGATCATTCTTGGCTGGTACTCACAGCCCATATCCAAATTGTTAGTGAACTCTGTTGACTATAAACAAACTCAGCCAAATACTTCTTCTGCAAAATGGGTTTATTTGAGAGCAACTAGAAATTTCAATCTGGTACATGCAACCACAGCGAGGCATGTGAAAGTTCGCTAAAACAAAGAAGGGGAAATCTTTGATAGAGGGGAAAAAGGAGTTAGAAAGGTCTATTACAAACAGTTTCCCTTGTTTTGCCTCATGATTGAGTTAGGGTGGGAGAGCTTCCCATTCTGGCCTCCCTACTTCACTTTAAATGAGGTTTCTGTTAT